GAGTCGTTGAAAGACATTTAGTATTTTTTGAGGTCACCGTATTTCGAACCAAATCAATAGGTGATGGAGTGCACAGGGTCTCGTCTGTCGGAGCTCTTCGGCTTTTAGTGTCGTATTGGTCGCATTGTTGTGCTAGTACTTCTTGGTTGTGGCGTTTGTGTAAGGTAAAGAAGCAAGAAGTATTTTTATCGAGGCATCCAGTTAAATGGGAGTGTAAATACTTAAAATAAAAGCAGAAGAGTTTTGCGCGCTATTTTTTTTTATTATTTTATCTTTCATCTTCATTGCATGGGGCAAATACTGTTGTGGACTGAACTCTTGTCATCGCTGGAGGACCTTCCGCATGTGTGCTGGTAGTTTAGGCTTTTCACTGCTTTGAATCTCGGATTGGACGCGCCCCAAGATGTGCGATTCCCAGTCGGAAATTAATGCGTCTTCATCCTCTTGTTGTTCTGCATTCATAAATCGCTCGAAGGCAGATGGGGATTGGCCAATCCGCGGGCTTTCTTTGTCCGGCGCGTCCTTGAGGATGGCTGCGACGTCCGCTGCCTCGCTGCTGTCTGCCCCATGAATGACCGCAGTAGGGCAGTGCGCCTCCGCGTGGCGAAGAAGCAGCACCTTTTCTATTCGTAGCGCCAAGGCCGTGAGAGAACGGGATGTGTCCGCGATGAACGAGGCGTAAACATGCGGGCAGTCCTGCGATAAGTTTGTATTTTGAGCGCACCTAATCCACTTGCGGCACCACAAGACGGTGTGGTTTTGCGCAACAACGCCCGTCGGCGGGGCAAAGCGGCTGGCGATGTAACGATAAAACAGCACGAACGCCTCGCACGTTAGAAGATACACGCTGTGATGGTGCTGCCCCATACAATGGGAAACTGCACGCATGAGGTCTTTTGTCTCCTCGAAAAAGTTTCGTGCAATAATGCCACGCGCTGCGAGGCTCACCAGACGCTCGGCTTGACGACAGAGTCGCATCTCCTCCGCGGGCATCTCGCTGTCCCGCCACCGCTCCCCGCAACGGTGGCACACCCAGGGCTCAAATGATGCGAACCGGCATTGTAGTGCAACTCTGTTTGCCTCTTCCAGTGCACTCCCACACTTCTGAGGGCATTGCGTGTGCGAAAGGAGTCGGTAGCGCCAACCCGCCTCGCCCCGACAGAGGGGACATGGAAAGGCACGTAGAGCATCTGTCCCGTTTACTCCTTCACCCATCACACCGCATGCGTGGCGGGGACCACTCACCTCACCAGTGCAGCGGCTGCATGTGCAGCAACATCCGACGTTCGCGCGCACAGACTCTTGTCGGAGAGGAACTGGGAGCTTCAGCACCATCTGCCGCGCAAGGTCAAAGCGGGGTCTCCAGAAGTTGTCGATCGTGAGTGGCTCGTGCGCATCTATGCTACGCAAAGCCCGCAACTCACAGGTAGCAGAATTCCAAATGCAATTTGGGGAACAGGAGTGAGAGACACGCGAAACAAGATCAAAAAAACCCCACTTTTTCGCACAATAGCATCGCCGCGAGGCCATTGACGTAAAAAAAAGTTTCACCATCCAGCAAGGCGGTGGTCCGTCAGAGAACGCGGTCAGGTACGTGGTTGCCGCTACAATTGCATCCGCCGTTGCGTCCCTCACACCGTGCAGACCATTCAGCAAAAGTGTCAAGTGGTCTTCTTTACTTCCAGGCAACCCCGCGCTTGTCAGCTCTTCACTTTCCTTCAGCAAGAAGGCATCAACAAGCGCCCGCAGTCCATCATCGTACACGGAAGTTTGTCGTGGAGCCGATGCGGGAGGAAAGCCATTGGCCTCCCAAGCCAATAACGGCACATCGTCACAGGCCACCACCTCACCAGACATAATTCGTCTACAAGCCCTCGGCGTCTCTCCCGGTGCCATCACAACCTTGGGGTACCTCCGAGTCCAAAGGTTTACGCGCTCAGCCTCCAATAGTCCCAAACGGGCCACAACGCCTTCCTCTGACTTGTACGGGATAAGTTTGGCGAGTCCCCTCCGCACTATGGCCAATGCTGCTTCGTTGTTGCCAAGAGCGAGAGACAGAAGCCCTGACAAAAGCAGTGTTATTGCCGTGGTCTCCGCAGTACTCTCACTGTCCGATAATGCCGCTGTAAGAAGTTCCACAGACTCCTTGATGAGCTCAGTTGAGTCTGCAACCACGACGTCACCAGTAAAGTCATCGGTGAAAAAAATTGCCTCTAGCAGGCGCAGTACCTGTAAATGGCACTGTGACCCCTTCCCCACCGAGGCAAGGTTTCTTAAAGCGTTCTCCAGTTGACTCCGCCTCTCTTGTTGCCTACATTTCTTCCGCCTCGTCGTTGCCAACCGCGCCACGGCATCCGTGCCGGACTGAACCTCGCAAAATGCCCGATGGCCAAACCAGCCAACCTCCGCACAGTTCGCAGAACAGTACAACAGTTGGTGGCAACGAGGGCAGGCAATGAACTCCCTGGCGTTGGAGCTCCCGTCAGCTGCATCAGCGCCAGTAGAGGCGCATATGAGGCATCTCACTTCCTCAACGACGCCCACCGCGAATGGCATGCACACACATATATATAAGACCTGAGTGTGTCTTCCCACTATTTCCACACAAGGAAGGGGAGAAAGTAGCACATACACAAGTGCGGTTTTCCAAGTGGCAACAACAACAAAGAGAATTATAACTAGTAATAATAAACCTGCTCGCTGTCTCGTTTGGAAGTATCGCGAGAAGCGGCAGAGAAACTTGGCTGCTCTTTCGTTGTTCTTCACGTGGATGTGGCGGTTTCCGTTCGTTTTCTGGCTAAACACGAAACAGCTTCGCCGCCATCAGCGCAATCCAGTGAAGCCTACTTGGGTTCGCCAGGTAGTCCACAGTCCGCTCCCAAACCAACGCGTCCACCGCCTCATCGTCAGCATCATTACCGTCAGCTCGGGGGCTCGCTTGGTCGGCCAAAAGCACCCTTGCCTTGTCCTTCACCGCCATCGGAGCGTACAGGCCGGTCCTAGCAAGTCCACGCCAGCCGAGCCATCGATGCACCCACTGGCGCACAGGGTCCTCTCGCCCACCATAAAGGTTCTTGCCAAGCAGCACGCGCTGCACGGCACGATATCGAAACGCGTTACCAACTTTCTTCCGCAAAAATGGAGCTTGTGGAAAATAATACAAGAGGTCCAGCGCATGGCTATTCACAGCAACGATGTGAATACTGCTCGGAAGCTTATGCCACCACCAATCCTGCACCTGCCGAGGGGACAGAGAGCAGTTATAAGGCGTGTAAATAAAAGTTACGGCATAAAATTGACGCAAAATCTCATTTACAGCTGCCTGGAACTCGACAGTGGCATCCTTCACATTTTCTTTGATACCCCCAAAGGTCGTGGATGGTGAGACAGGAACCCACGACACACGCCACTGAGCCTCCGTTTCTGGAGTGACCACGGACGCCTGCTCTTTCGAGACCGTTTCCCTCAGAGCTCTGGTGTAGTGCGAGACCTGGTCACAAGGGGCTGCTTCAACGAGAACACTACACGGGGCGTACTGGAGAATCATACTTGCCATGTGGCGCAGCTCCCGGTGAGACAACGACTTCTCGTCCCTGGGCGGCAGCACCACCAAGACAGTTTCCTTGGTGACCCACCCAGGTATGTAGGGACGCCGAGGTTCCTCGCACAACGACACGGACACCCAGCCATCCTCGATCAGCTCCTCAAAGAGGAACATCACATACTCCCTAAGCAAAGAGTTATTTGTAGTCAAGCACACTGTGCGGCCCTCCACAAACAATGAGGACAACACTGCCGCATGCGCCATGGCACAGCAGCGTTCCAGCGTCAATAAATTTGTGGCAAGTGGAACCAAAATATGAATTGGCACACTTGCCAATCGACCATTCTCGTCAATGGGGCAGCCCTCACCCCGGATAAAGTTGTGGTGGTATCGTTCGTCCTCCTCGTGGTCGACGGCGAGCGGGGAGGGAAGCGCCGAGCGGCATGCATCGTTCACCGACGACGAGGAGGATGACACGGGGGAGAGCGCTTTTCGACGGGCCCAAGACGCAAAAGGGGATTGTTGTAATGAGCGGCAGCTGCTCCGCGCCGTTCGTCCGAACAAGCGGTCGTCGTCGCTTGCCCTGCCCTGCATGCCTTGAACAGCAAGCAATAGCTTTCGATTCCCCCCAAGACGACGAGAGCCTGCACCTTCGCCGCGAGATCCCCTGCTGCATCTGCCGGATAGCCTCCCACCGTGTGTTGCACCCCTGCGCGTCCGTCGCTTCTTCCTTTTTTCCTCCTCTTCCTCCTCCGCCCGTTCGTCTTGTTCAGGGTGCCATGCATGCGGCGCCGGCACCTGCTCGGCGGCGGCATTGATGTTAGCATCCATTTTCACGGCAACCGTCGTGAAGGGGTCGACAAAACGCTCCATCATGCGCGTAGGGAACACGTCAGCCACCACGCTGCGCTGCACACGACGCGTAGTGGCATAGGGAAGCCTAAGGCGCGCCAATGTGTCCTGCACATCGCGTAGGGAACGCACCCACATCAAGAAGGACAAACAAAGCCGAAGACGCACACAATACGGGAGCTTGTGAACTAACAGATAATGACGTCTCTGCGCCAAAGGCGATAGACGCCCCTGCAGCGCCGCAACATTTATGCCGCGTTCGCGCTGACGAAGCAAACGGGTGACGATGTTCGCAGTCTTTTCCTCTTCGTCCCCATCGCCTTGTGCAGCAAAGGAGGACCTCTCGAGCAATGCTGGGGCGCGCCTCCCGAGATCGACGAGCGTTGTCCACTTCTCCACGGGGTGTAGACGCAGCCACACCCATGGGCGCAGTCCTGCCGCTGTTGCTGTTGTGCCGTCTGACGCACCGGCAACCTTCCTGACACCAGTGGTTTCCTCCTTTTTGGTGTCTACTCCTGCGTGCAGCCAACGTCCGGGGCTGCAGACAGCCGACACGCGGTGTGGCGCAGCCCATCGGGGCCGCATTCACCGCTTACGAGCCTCTCAGCAACCACATACAAGAAAGGAGGGGGAAAAGCAGAAGAGCAAGATAATGGTTTTGTGCACACACAGCGAGAGCCAATAGAGGCAAAGTTTGTGAACCGTGTTACTTTATGGATATGACATGGGTGTTCATCCCTGCCACTTTCTTTCCATCGTTTTTAGCGGGAGTATGTCCTTCACGTCCTCTTCTTCAACCAGAAGTGAGGGAAGGGGCGGCCATACCCGTGGATCTAAGGCTATCCAAAGGAGGAGAAGTTCAGTTCGCAGAAGACAAACCTACACTCACCACACAAAGGAAAGAAAAGGAAATGAAAAGACAGCAAGAAAAGCGACGGACTGAAAGATTTACACTTCGCAAAGCATCATTGCCGCTTCTGCTGCAGAAGCGAAAGGACACTCTCAAAGTCGATCGTCCCGGTAGCGAACAACGTGCACTGGAGTGACTCTCGGGCGCGGACTAGGTCCTCTCTGAGCTGCAGCCGCCGTCCTTCGGTCTCATTCCACTGAAGAGCAACATTATGACATTTCGCTCTGGAGGAATTGCCGCAGCCGCTAGACGATGGCTGTGATGCATGTGATGTCCGCGAGATCTGCAGAGGAGCCGACTTGGCGGCGGGTGCCGTAGTACGCCACGGGCGGGCGGCACTTCTGCAAGGCTTCCGCTGAAGCCCATTATCGCCACCCGATCCATGTTTTTTGTTTGCCTCTGCCGCCTCGGAGATTGCAGTGTTGTCACACTCCGCCCTTTCAGGCGCCGCCACTGCCGGCGCCTCCCAAATGCCATGGCAGTGCAGAGAAGGAAAAGAAAACGCGTCGTCTCCACCCCTTCCGGCGACGGTGGCGTGGGCATAAGAGCACGCGTCAGATGCCGCCAGTCGCGGCTCCCCTAGCTGGGCATGACGCAACTGCATCCGCAGTGTCACGGCATCGAAGCTCTCCTCCGGCGGAAATCGTTGTGACAAAACAAAAAGCCAATGCTGCACCTTGATGTGGTGGACGATGCAGGCCGGCGAACATTGAAGACAATGCTGCTGCAGGGAAGACAGAGGAGCATCACACAGCTGCAGTCCACGAGAGCCTTCACAGAATACCGCCAGATTCGCCTCTAGCTGCGCAGGAAGAGGCGTCGTGGACCAGCAAAGGCTGGAGAGGTCGATGCACTTGCTGGGCATAATAGCATACAAGATAAGTGCGTAGTCGCAGCCAGTGTACTCGTATGGAGCGGTGCCAGTGAAAACGTTGCGCGGCAAACGTCCAGAATACTCGGCCACAAAGCAACAGATATCTTCATACACGGGCGGCGGCCCAAGCACCGCCTCTGACGAACGGGAAAAAGTCACATTATGGCCCTCGGCTGCCCAATTCTGAACCTCAGACATGTAAAAAGAGCAGCCGGCTCAACCGCCGCCACCTTCCTCCTCTATCTATCGATATAGCTTCAGTGAGTTATCTGTCCCACCACTGCCAGGATTCCGCTGAAAAACGTGGACAAAAAAAATAACAAGAACAAATAAAGCAACACAGACACACACATCCACATACATACACAGATGATGATGCCCAACATTATTTCTCTGCGGTTTCACACTTGGCAAGCGCATGCGTTCATGCATTATTGCAGGTGTGCCTCGTCCCCCTCAGAACTGTGTAAAACAACAAAACAACCGGACCACAACTGTAAAAAAAGTTGAACACCGGCAGTTTATTGCCTCTATTTTATTTGTTTTTTTTTGTTTTGCTTTTTCTCACCAGAACACCACTTCGTCGTCTTCGTCATGCCCAGCAGTGTTTTCTCGCGTAGACTTTTTCCCCACCACACGTCGCTCGCGTTCTAGTCGCGTAGCGAACCACGTCTGAAGCGTTGGCCCGCTGTTGGCGCTGTCTACACCCAGCCTCTTGACACGTCCAACGACGTCGCCAGTCTGCATTCCCGCGAAGAGTTGTCCATGCTTCACATCAATGGCGACAGAAAGGACGTCGTCCTCCGGGGCCCCGGGTCTCCACACCATGGTGGGCTCATAGCTTCCATCCACATACGTAAACTGCACCACGTGCCCCCCTGCAACATGCCGGTAGCCTGCTCGGTTAGTACACGTCATAAAGGACGGTTTTTCTTGAGAGAAGAGGGCACCTGTGCACGCCACCAACGGCGCTGTGTCTGTGGCACACGGAAGACCTCCAATTGGTGAGCAAACGTCCTCAACAACGCCGTTCTTTCCCATTTTTCGAAGATCCACCATGCGCACTTCAGAACCACACCGCACACACAGAATGGGACGGGATGTGTCTGGCTCCACCATGCCACCCACATGTTTTTCTGCAAAAAGCATCTCATTATTTTCGGATTTTGACGCAACACCCGACGACCTACTGCCGTACATGTCCAGTACGCCAAGGGCCCCCCCGGGTCGATACTTTTGACGCGAGTCCCACAGCTGCACCATCCCATCTTCCCCAGAAGTAGAAAACACAGATTTCTTGTCATTAGTGAGGCCTAGAATAGGCGCAACAGCTTCCACAACAACGTTATCTAATAGTTGCCCAGAACCGTGCTTGACTGCATAAACAGACTGTCTGTCAAACGACGCCGCATCCCACATGCGGGCCGTGCTGTCCTGTGATCCAGTAAAAAAGCATGAAGGAACCGTTGGCGACGCTGCGGAGCAGGTTACAGGTGCTCTATGGCCTTTGCACTGGAGAACATCCACCATGCCACGCTGTCCCATAGCGCAGTACCCCAGCTGCTTGCCATTTGCAGCAATCAAAGCAGGTGAGTCGCCATCTTGACAAGCAACAAAGAACGACCCATCACTAGACGAGTGCACAGACACAACTGGTTGAAAACCTGAGATGCGGTTAGGAAATGGCGTGAGAACACGCGTAGGCTTTACCGCACGGCCTTCTATAGGAACAGTAAAATCCCACATACAAACAGAGCCTCCCTCCGCACCACTGCAGAGTATGTGGCCTGAAGGATTCAGACAGATGGAACGAACCCGACCCGTTGCCCCGTGAAGAACGTAGCCCAGGGACGTCAAAGAAGTCTTCAAATCAACCGTGCCAGAAGGTGTCATTGTGGGCTCTTTTCCTGTCGCTGCTTCTACATGGGGGGCCGATGGAGGCGGCGAGGGCGCAGGAACACTGCTGGTACTGCCTTTTGCAGCTAGTGTAGCTGAGAAGCGCGGGCGGTCGACCACGTTCTGCACCGCCTTTGTGCTGCTGATCTCTGCAGGGTCGTACGAGTCACTATCGCTATCGCCCATCATAAAGGCGTCCTGAACTTCCCCTTCCTCGTTGTGTGTGTGTTCTGCCCTCTCAGGGCCAAGGCCGCGGATGTGGCAGAGAGCTCTGCAGAACAAAAGTCACACGAGGGGGAAAGAGACCCTCAGTGACAGAGAAAAGGAAAGAAAGAAGGAAAGGAAAAAAAACGGAAAATGTAAGCGTGCAAAGTGAACTCGGCGGAATCCGGTTCGCGCTGAGTGCAAAGCCGGTCGTAAAGAAACCCGACTCCACGAACTCCACTGGAAAACCAGGAAGGCAAACGTTTTTTTTTTGCAAAAATAAGAACAAAGGAAAATATCTGAAAACACAAGGGTGTAGATCAAAGCCCGATCAATCGTCATGCCTACCAGTTCATGCGGTGCGGCGCATCACCCGGCTTGATGGTGAAGACGGAGTGAAGGTAGCCGGCCTTTTCCTTGCCGAGCGGGTCCTTCTTGATGGCCGCAATGAGCGCGGCGTCCACCTGCTTCTGCAGCTGCGCCCGGGCGTCGCTGACGGTCCCCTTCGGGGCCGCCTTCGCCGTCTTCTTCGCCTTTCGCTCCGCGGCCTTCTTTGCCTTGTCGCCCATGAACTCCCCCTCCGACTTGACGCGCTTCTCCTGCTTCGGGCGCGCGAAGATGTCGGCGGTGATGCCGCTCACGTCCACGTCCTTCACGTCAACCTTCGTCGAGGTCGCAATGAGGTAGCGGGAGTCGATGCGGCGGATCGGCACGCCGTTGTACTTCATCGGCCCGGAAACAACCAGCGGGCCGTTACCGGGGAGCTGCTTCAGGATCACCGCACGGCGGCCACGGAAGCGGCCGGCGAGGATGATCGCGATGGTGCCGGGCCTGCAGCGCTTCCGCAGCGTCGTGTA